TAAAACATCCGATATGACTACCCAATCCCCCCATAGTACGCAGCCCTTCAGCTTTGGGAGTTCTGTTTGTCTATTCCAGAATGGTTTGGCGGTCTTGTCGATCTCAGTTTCTGGCCATCCTTTTCCTACCCAATTTAAAATCCGTGCCTGGTTTTTGTCTCGAGCTGTTTCCCTAGTGATGGGTAGGTTTTCTAATGTGTCTATTTGGAGGGTCAATGTGGTTGGTGCTGGGTCGTCTTCTATGTCAGGTAGAGGGCAATGGCTCAGCGCATCAGCATGATTTTTGTCCTTTCCGGGTCGGTAGATTAATTTGTAGTTGTAGGCAGCCAAGAATTCTGACCACCGCATCATTCGTGGTGACAGTATGCTAGTTGTAGCTTTGTTTCCTGCGATGATGCCCAGGAGTGGCTTGTAGTCTGTGACTAGTGTGAAAGTTCTTCTGTAGATATATTCGTGGAAACATTTTATTCCGGTGACAGCGGCCAATTCCTCTTTGTCTAATTGGCTGCAGCTCCGCTCCAGTTTTGACAGAGTCTTTGAATAGAATCCTATGGGTGCTTCTTTCCCATCTGGTAATACATGTCTGAGTATAGCGCCAATGCCGAAAGGTGATGCATCACAAGTTAGTGTTATTGGAAGTGTTTCACTGTATTGTATTAGTACGCGGTCTGATGTGATCAGGTTTTTATTTCCTGGAAAACCATTTCTTCCCGTCACCCCCAGGCCCAGGTTGCTTTCTTGTCAAGCAACCTGTGTATGGTTCCACAATGGTTGCTTTCTGTGGTAGGAATATATTATAAAAGTTAATGAGTCCTAAGAAAGCTTGCAGATCAGTTTTATTTGTGGGTCTGGGGGCTTCCTTGATTGCTCTGACTTTATTTTCTGTGGGGTGGATTCCTTCGCTGTCTATAAGATATCCTAGGAATTCAACTTTGCCGGCGGCTAATTGGCACTTCTCCTTTTTTACTTTTAGTCCCGCCTCCTTGAATTTACTTAGGACTTCCCTTAGGCGGTCTCACAATTGTTTTTTGTCCTTGGCTGATACTAGGACATTGTCAAAGTATGGTACCACCCCTTTTATCCCTTGCAATAGGCGTTCCATTAAGCTCTGGAACACCCCCGGGGCGACACTGACGCCAAATTGTAGTCTGTTGCATTTGAATGCCCCCCTGTGCATCACGATTGTCTGGGCTTCCGCTGTTTCGGGGTCAACGGGTAACTGTTGGTAGGCCTGTAAGAGGTCTAGATTCATGAAGATTTCCCACCCCCCAGGAATGTAATAGATGCTGTACCACTGGGACTGGGTATGCACTTTGTTGGAGCGTGTGGTTAAGAGTTGCTTGGTAGTCCCCGCAGATGCGCACCAACCCATCAGGTTTGATTGGTGGAACAATTGGAGTTTCCCTCTTTGCGTGGTCAATTGGTTCTAAAACCCCTTGTGCAATGAGTTTATCCAATTGCTCATCGATTTTTGGCTTTAGTGCGAAAGGAACCCGCCTTGCCTTTAACCTTATAGGGGCTATGTTTGGGTTTAGATTAAACTAAATTGGGGACCCCCGGTACTTGCCCAGTTCTTTGTCAAACACATCCTGGAATTCTTCCATCAGGTCCTCTTCCCACTCTGTCTCGGTGATGCTGTTTATACCTGTGACTTTGATTCCTAATGGTGCAAACCATTCGAGTCCCAGGAAACTTGGCCGATTCCAGTCGACTATTGTTAGTGGGAGGACTCTGGTGTATTTTTTGAATGTTACCTTGAATTGTCCGGTACCCACTATGGGTATTTTATTTCCTTGGTAGTCTTTCAACGTCAGTGTTTGTCTTTCAAGTCCTTCCCGGTTTATGTTTGGTATCAGTCTTTTTATAGTGTCCCATGATACCATTGACAAATATGACCTGGAATCCACTTCCATCTGACAGGGTTTGCCCTCTATGGTGACCTGGACATATACTTTCCTGGCGTTTGTTGTGTTGGAGTGTCCGATGGTCACCGTCTGGTGTGTGTTTCTTCTCTTCCTTTGCTTATCTCTTTCCCTTGACTGTTTCTGTTGTCTTGGTTCCAGGGGCTCCCTGTTTGTTTCTCCCTCCTTGGGGGGGGGGTGTTCCATCTTTGTCAAGGGCCGTAGTTTTTTTTCTTGCTCAGCATGCCCAAGCAATATGTCCCCGCCATTCACAATGTTTGCAGATTGCATCTAGGAAATGGCACTCAGAACGTGGATGGTTCCCCTCGCAGCCAGCACAACAAAATTCCTTTTTCCATTCCTGTCTCTTCTGCCCTGTTCCAAACGGAGTTGATTTACCCCTTCTTCTTCCTTCTCATCTTCTGATGGGGACTCGATGTCCTCGTGGTGGGTTGTGGTGATGTTTTGGAGGGTTTCCAGTGGCGCTTTGTTCATTTCCGCATGGCAGCCACCAATTTCTGCATTGCTTCTGCTGTGGTAGCTTCTTCTATTGCTTCTTGGAGTATTATTTTGAGTTTTGTTAATAATCGACCCTGTAGTATAAGATCTCTCGGCCCCAGGACCACTTGGTCTCTCATGGCTTCATCCATGTTTAAGAATTTGCATGCTCCAGTGATGTCCCTCAGAGTTGCAACAAAATCACCGATGCTCTTGCCTTATTTTTGGTCACGCTGATAAAATGCATGCCTTTTGATGAGACAGGAGATGGTTGGTGTGTAGTGAGCCCTCAGTATTCTTTCCAGGTCTGGCCAGGCCTTCGTGTTCACGTCGGTGGGTGCCACTAAAGCTTTGGCCATCTTGAATACCACAGGACCGCAATGTGTGAGGAAGACGGCTCTCTTCCTGTGTTTGGATATATTATGGAGGTCACTCCCTTCGAGGAACATGAGGAATCGATGTACGATCCCCAGTCTTCAGTTGCTGGATCGAACGGTACGGGTAGCGTGTTCTTTCTGGCCATTTCATCTTAACACGTTGCCGATGTTCATCTGTCGGCACATGCTCACTGGTTCCCTTTGTCTCAGTATCCTACCTTCATTGCCAGTGTTAGATTGTGGGAATGAGACTCAGGACACCAGCATGATCGTCAATTGTCTTTACTTCCTTCTAGGACTAAGTGCCGAAGAAACCATGGCAGCCCTTTTACAGTCGGGCTGCTCACGGCTGTGGCCAGTGATGGCTCTTCAAATTTCCTGCTGCCACGGACCGACCAATCGCAGGTAAGTATGTTAATACATAACAATATCCGTGCGGACCAAACAGTCCCACTGGCCCTCCTCTTGCAACTCTTAGGCAAGATGGTATACTGCATCTCAATTGTCCCCTGGGCATGCCTGCAAGCCAGGATCTTACAATGGTTTCTCTTGCCTTACCAAAGGTCCAGCAGGAGCAACTCAATGGCCAAGATTCGGGTCCCACCAAAGGTACTTCAATTCTTCCATTGGTGGGTGTCCTGGGCCATAACCAGGGGATGTGCCTTCAAGGAGCCCAGACACCTGACCATCACCACAGACACCAGCCTCTTTGGCTGGGGTGCCCACTTCCAGTCCCAGATGGCATAGAGGCAGTGGGGGCTGGAAGACCTGGTGAACAACATCAACTGGCTGGAGCTCAGATCAGCCCAGGTGGCACTCAGAGTTCCAGGACTCGATCTTGAACCATCACATCCTCATTCTGGTGGACAATATAGCCACCAAGGCCCATACACCAGGGGTGTACCCATTCCAGGTCCCTCATGTGAGAAGCCAAACAATTGGGCCTCTGGGCAGAGAAGCATCTTCTTTCCATCAGGGTGGAACACATCTTGGGGACACCAAATGTACAGGTGGACTGGCTCAGCAGAACCACAGTCAACCATTCAGAGTGGCACCTGCATCCAGACTTATTCAGGGAGCTGTCAGAATGGTTCGGGCCTCAGACCTGGACCTGTACAGGCGGACTGGCTCAGCAGAACCACAGTCAACCATTCAGAGTGGCACCTGCATCCAGACTTATTCAGGGAGCTGTCAGAATGGTTCGGGCCTCAGTCCTGGACCTGTTTGCCACCCTGTCAAACAGCCAGCTACCCAGGTTCTACACCAGGGCAGAAGGGGTCAATGCACTCCACAGTCCGTGACCCCAAGGACTGCTGGATGCCTTTTCTCCTCTTCCCAAGACAGAATAAACCCATTCTTGGATTCTCTCTCAGCACATCAAAAAGGAGTATATCAGGTAAGACCAATGCCCCTTTTCTCTCTATCAATGACTATTTTATAGAAACAGGTTTCTCTAGAATTGCACCAGAATGTTCCAAAGAAATTTAACCTAAATTGTTGGATTACATGCTTTCCTGAAAAGCATTTCATGCAAAGATTAGCAAAGGAAAATATAACTTGGTAGAATAGTATGACATAATGTCTGCTTTTTATCATAATCAAAACTTAAATTTTTAATGTCTAATATTTTTAGATTCCCACTTGCATATTAAATTGGGAAAAATAATTTAACACTGAGGTAAATATATAGTTGCATAATAAAAATGATTTGTGTTGGTGTGTATACGTTGATATACACAACACATCATCAATAAAAAAACCAAACTAAAAAGATTAAGGGAATCCTCAATTATGATGGTAATTGAGACTGAAAACCAAGCAATGCAGTCATAAAGTATAATGTCATATGATCACATTGCTTAGCCATGGCAATTCCAAAATCTCCAAAATTGCAGTCACATGACCATGACTTGCTGAAATGTGATTATAAGCTGGGCAGAAAGAAGCTTGATCATGATCATATGACTTCAGGAATGCTAAGGAATTCTAAGGACTCTTTGCAAGCTCCCCTTATTCAGCACTGTTATAATTTTGAACAGTCATTGAAAAGCTGGTCATAACCCAAAGACTACCTGGATATTTTCTTTCTACCTTCCAATCAGGTATTTTTGCCTTAAATATTTTTCCCACAAAAAACTAATTCTTAGGACTGTAAGACCAATACCATTAGCATATGTTGTGTTTACAAGTATTACACCTTTAAAGAAGTCAACATGTAACATACCAGAATTCATATGGTACCTTTCTTTTGTGGATATTTTGTTTTTGGGAAAATGCAGCTGTTTAATGATCCATTTTTGATAAGATGGACAAGTGCTGAGGTTAACAAGTCTCAATACTTCACAAATGCCCTGATGAAACAAAACCAAAACAAAAAGTTGTTCTGTTGAATGGAGGCCTGTGAGGTGAATGAATGAACAAATGTGATCTCAAAATGTAGGCAGCTTGTAATATCAAGAAATTTGTTCACCTAAATTATCAGAGTTTTAAAATCACTATTAAAACCAGTAATTAACAAAATGGTACAGAGTCTATATATGAGCCAAGACTCTGTATGGGGGTTTATTGACAGTCCAAGGTAAAGCAGTGGATTACAGTAACAGAATCTTGCTAGTCTGAAAGTGACTCACCCCCATCCAACTTTATACTAAAGAGAACTAGGAAGGGTCAACTCTGAATGCTTGCTCAAATTACATTTCTCTTATCTGAAGGTTTCCTTGGCTGCTCTATCCCCTGTTCTTCAAGGTTATTTGTACATCCCATGACATTCATGGAGCTTTCTAAGAGCACCTAAATTCAGCAATGACTTACCATGGACAGGGCAGTCATTTTTTTTAAACAACATCTAATAAATCTTTATGCTTAACTAAGAGCTAAAATAACTATAATAACACTATAAGTAATTGGCCTAAAGCATCTATTTTACTTTTATCCCTCTCTCCACCTCTCAAAAACAGCTGCAGTTTTTAAACCTTCACTTCAGGTGGTAACATTCTTGAGGTACTCAGAAGTGGAGGGAAAATACCTTCAATAACTTGGTCCTAGCTGGCTAATAAATTGTTTTGGTTTTTGCTTGTATTTGGTAACTTCTAAGAGCAGCAATATTGCTTCTTACTGAGAGGTTCAATAGAATACCACTTCTCAACTACAATATTTTTCTGCATGAAGTATTAGCTTTGCTCCACTGGCAGCAAAATGCTTGATTTAAAGGTCAACACTGATAATAGGATATCATTGTCTGTCACACCCAAACCCAATAAAATAATTGAGGAGGTAAAATGGTATGCATTTGTTATGTTCTGCCATCTAAGACAATCATCTCATTTTACTTAATGGTAGGACCAGTGCTCATCTCTATATTTTTCTTTCATTTTCAGACAGAAAAGGGAATTTTAAAAATTAAAGATAACTTAGGGCAAAGGGGACCAAACTGCAATCCTGGGGAAAGACTTGGAAGTTGTTCAGTTTGTATTTCATTTCAAAAGTGTTTGTATGATTTGGAAGCTGTTACTCACCTGAGAATGAATTGATTAAGTCAGCATATACTCAGGGGTGGGATCCTACCGGCATAACAATCGGTTTGGTGAGCGTATGTTGCGCGCACATGTGTAGTACTTGCAAAACAACTTTCCTGCAAGCAATCACCATCTCCTGTTGACACACGCCACTCAACTGTGCTGCGCAAAGCAACTAAGGTAAGAATAAAGAACAGCCTAGAGCCTGGGCAGGTGGGTGGGCCCAACCAACGAAAAGAAGATCTTCAGAGATAACTGGTATGGTGTCAGCTGCTCTTCGGAGCTACCGGTTCTATAGAACTGGGCTGAACCAGTAGAATCTCACCCCTACATATACTTGCTTTTGACTAAAATGATTGTTTTGGAATAAAAGGTATACAGTACTACAATTATATGTATCACAGAAACACTATCTTAGAAGAGACCTACTGTCCTCATGAAGTAGTAAGGCTAAAGTATTTCTTATAAAACAACATTCATAATACCTAGAGTTTTTTAATTGTTGATTTTTTTCAAGTACGGATTTAAACATGGATATTGGCTCAGCTGAGCAAAAGGTTTTGGTGAATGAAATTTGGCTCAGGCCCAAAACTATTTGGACAGCAGAAATGGCTGAATAATGTGGGGTGAACACTGGAGATCTAGTTCTTCAAATTCTGGCACTGTTTCTTGCCCTGAGATAGTGATTTAGTGGGAGCATGGTGGCTCACATAGTTAAGACACTGAATTGGAAGTTAGCAAGCCCTCTTTCGAGACCTGAGTGCCGCTGCATGGTGAGATAAGCTCCCATCATTCACTCCAGCTCCTTTCGTATACTGAAATTTTACATACATAAACCAGATTCTTAGTTTTGCAAGCAACCACCTTAGCACACACAAGAGGAGCTGCATTGAGACCCTCTTCAGAAGAGCCAAGACTCACTGAAGCACCAAGTAGCTGAGAAAAGCAGAGAGAAACACCTTTCCAATGTCTCCCTTTGCAATAGCTATCCCAAAAACTTCATACTCCAATGCATCTCATAACTCCTATGCACCACTCAGCCAACTGCAACATGGAAACAAGTCCCATCAAAGAAATATCAGAAATGGCTGTCAAGATTCTACAACCCCTGGGAATAATAGTGTCTCACAAACCTACATCCATGCTCTGACAATAGCTATCTAAGATCAAAAACAAAATACAGAAGGAAGACATCAGCAACACAATATACAAAATCAGTTGTAACATTTGTAACCAATTCAATGTCCAGCTAAAAAAAAGGATTCATCAACATTGGCTAGAGGCTGAGTAACATGACCAAAAATCACTGATCTCGACTTATATCGACACTGAACAACACCAGTGAGACTGGGGTGGAATGAAAATAATTGGCCATGCCAACACTCGCCATACACATCAATTTGCCAAAATCTGGTGTTCTACAAATGCTTCAACCTACGAACATATGGATTTTATTTATTTATTTGTCAATAGCTTACAAGATAATAAACATAAGAATAAACACAGGAAATGGGTACAAATAATTGGGGACAATAGGATAGGGATGGTAGGCACAATTGTGCACTTATGCACGTCCTTTACATACCTCTTAGAAAGAGGGTGAGGTCAATAGTGGTTAGTTTAAGGGAAAAGGAGTGTAGGTTTGGGGATGTGACAACAGAGTCAGGTAATGTGTTCCAGGCATTGATCACTCTGTTGATGAAGTCGTACTTTCTGCAATCAAGTTTGGAGTGGTGTTATGTCTCACCTGTACAAACAAAGTAATAAGTCCAAATTTCCAACTGAAACACAAATAAGCAGGCAAGTCCAGTAATTACAGGGTTAAATTCCTTAAGCCGACAACATTCTTGGCAGTCTCATGCAAGCTGTCTGCCAAGTCCGATAAGGAAGCAGGAACATAAACCACAAGCTGGTTTATGGGATAATAACACAGGATAATTCTGAAGCTTCTCTCACTAAATAACACGTTGTCCCGAACAAGAACCCAGAGCTAACACACCCACTTTTATTCCCTGTGGGGCATGTCAGTCCCTCATCTCATTCTCTGATTCGTCCTTTCTTGCGTCTTTACCTCGCATCAAACCAACATTCCTCAGTCAGAGGCTCTGATACGCCCTCCTGGTTATCTGCCAACACCTGAGGCACAACCAGGGAGGAAGGTCTTGCCGAAGGGGAAAGTCCTGGGGAGGAAGGCAATTCCAAATCCTCTAACAAAGCAGGCTCAAACCTCAGAGCCAAATCCTCCTCTTCCTCATTGTCCAAGTCTGTGTCCTCTAACAGAACAGGCTGAAACCTCCGAGTCACAACACTATCCCTCACCGCAGGGCCCTTCCCCTGAGTCTGACGATCAGGATGTGGTTTCAATGGAAACTGTTCATGGAATCTCCGGATAAGGTCCGGGGCATGAACCGTGGAAGCATCCACCCAGGAAAGAGCCTCCGGTCCATCCCCTAGCCTCTCAACGAAGTATTGAAACTGTCCTTTCAGCCAGCGAGAATCCCGAATGCTGACCACCGTGTCGTCAGCAGCGGGATCATCGCCGGGTCCAGGTGGAGGAACTGTAGCAGCGGGAGAACGGAGAGCACACGAAGGGGCGTCAGGAACCAGAAGGGAACGGTGAAAGACAGGATGAATGCTCATGGAGCGCGGTAGGGTGAGCCGATAAGCAACGGGATTGATGACCGCCTCGATAGGGAAGGGACCGATGAAGCGATGGTCCAACTTCTTAATCGGACGATCGACCCATAGATGCTTTGTGGATAACCACACCCTGTCTCCCACGGCCAGCGGGGGCGTTGCCCGGCGCGAACGATCCGTGAACCTTTTATAGTCTTCCTTAGCCTGTTCTAATTGCTGTGAAATCAATTGATGAACCAAATGCAGTTCCGACAAAAAGTCCTGCGTCTCGGGAACTGGGGAATCCAAGATCGACAATGGGAAAAACCTCGGATGAAAACCCACATTCACTTTAAAAGGTGTCATGTAAGTGGAGGTGTGCTGGGAGTTGTTGAAGGCAAACTCCACCAGAGGGAGATAAGTCACCCAATCGTTCTGTCGGTGGTTGACAAAACGTCTTAAATATTGTGCGAGGATGCCAATCACTTTCTCCGTGCCACCATCAGTCTCTGGATGGTGCGCCGACGACAAGCACATCTGTACCTGCAATGCGGTCATTAGGCTCTTCCAAAATTGAGCGGTAACCTGGACACCATGATCCGAAACCACTCTGTCCGGCAGACCATGAAGACAGAACACATGTTGCAAAAATAACTGGGCAGTAGTATGAGCCGACGGTAATCTCCAACAAGGGATAAAGTGAGCCATCTTGGTTAACATATCAACCACCACGAGCACCGTCGTATATCCCGACGAAGAGGGCAAATGTGTTAAGAAGTCCATGGAAATTGCCCCCCATGGTCTGTCTGGAGTTGGTAGCGGTTGAAGGAGACCAGGAGGCGCACCTGTCGCAGCTTTCGCTTGTCTGCACGGTACACAGGATGCGACATAGGCGTGGACATCATGCTGGACTCGAGGCCACCAAAAAGTTTGTGTGACAAGGTGAAGGGTCCTAAAAAACCCAAAATGGCCGGCAGCAGGGTTGTCGTGACATTGAGTCGTAATAAGGGCTCTAAGTGTCCTCATGGGCACGTACAACCGGCCCCGATGTCATAGTAAGCCCTCCTCCAAAGTCCATGGGGAGTCAGGTCCTATTTCCCCCATTCTCTGCTGCAACCAAGCATCTAAGCGCTGCACCTCTCGTACCCGAATCCGCAAATCCACTGGTTCCTGGATAACAGCCAAAGATTCTGGTGGCAGCACCGTACGTGGAGGAAGGG